ACAGAGGGGCTGTGGAAGGGGAAAATAGACAGTCCATGGCTTGGGTGAGAGACACCGAGAGGGGTTGGGAGGACACAAAGTGACACAAAGGGGCTGGAGAAATGGCAACAGAGACAGATAGAGGCTTTAACTAAACCCATTATAATTTAGTCTATTGGAGATATAGTCGACTAAAACTAGCCTAAAACGTATGGGTGGGACCAGTCTGATATGCTTCAGATATGTTCTCTCTGTAATGGCACAAGTTGAGCTAAAACCAGCATGAGTTCTGAGCGGGGACCCACCGAAGGGCAGGCTATTTTAGCTGCTGTCCGTTCTCAGAATACTCTTGCGACCCATTGTTTGCTCTCCATTAGTCTAAAGGGTAATCCAGACGTGGACCCCTTGCTCACGGTGCCTAGAGAGATATCAGCTATGCCTCACTGACGATGCCTAACAAGGCTGAAACGATCGTCTGGGGTTGCTGTATCTCTCGTGCAGAGAGAACTTGCTGGCATTTCGGATCTGGACTGCCCGTATGGGTGGGACCAGTCTGATATGCTTCAGATATGTTCTCTCTGTAATGGCACAAGTTGAGCTAAAACCAGCTTGAGTTCTGAGCGGGGACCCATCGAAGGGCAGGCTATTTTAGCTGCTGTCCGTTCTCAGAATACTCTTGCGACCCATTGTTTGCTCTCCATTAGCCTAAAACTAAAACAATTCAGGTGACTAAAATACAACTAAAACTAAAATGGCTTTTAGTCAAAAGAACTAAATTGAAATTTACACTGTTTTGCTTTTATTGAATATAGCTCAAGATATAAAGATATGGTTTGCTGTTGCATTATAAATGATGCTGCTACTGATCATCTAATAAATATACAAAGCTCCAAAATAACCAAAATATATATTGCAACATTGAACAAGGAATATTACTGTACAGTACATAAGGTGACTAAATCAAATATGTATATATAGTTTGAAATTAATTCCACCACTGACATTCATCTGTACAACAGACTAATGAATACTGCAAATAAGGAATAAATAATGAGTTACTGGAACAGTGCCATCTAGTGACAGAAAACCATACAGTTTAAATGCTAAACACTATTGATAACTGAATTTTACAATACTATCTCAATGATTAGATAAATCAGTGTGGCTGAACTTTCACAAAGAATGGAATAAAGTTAAAAGATGGGAAAAGTATACCCAGAATATTTTTTTTAATAAAGCGCATAAGTAAAGAAATTAAAAAAAGAAAATAAAAAGAGAAAAAAATATAGGATTCTTTGGTGCCTTCTGTCGTAATTTTATCACATGACAGGAGGCTTCATATTTTGCATAACTTTCTTTACTTTATGCCTCCAGCAGCACAAGTCAATCAATAAACTTTAAACCAATCAGTAACAGGCATCACATTCATATATAAAGCCCTGACAGTCACATGACTTCCTCTTTCTTTGCTGCTTACCAGCCAAGGCACAGGTCAGAGTATTTTGCTCCAAACTGTTTTACTGAATATTGCAATTGTCATTAGTTAATCATTTATTGCTTAACTTTCAGTTTGTTCCAAACTGTTTTTATTAATATTGCTATGGTCACTGTAGTTAGACACCTTATGCTAGACATTCAGTTTTAATCCTAACTGTTTTTTCTGGATACCACTTTAATTAAACTTTATTAATTGACTTTCAGTTTGCTCCAACTGTTTTTATTAATATTGCTATGGTCACTTTAGTTAGATTTTTAATGCTAGACATTCAGTTTTTGCTCCAAACTGTTTCTGGATATGCATGGGCACTTTTGTTAAACTTTATTAGCTTGTCCTGCAATTTTGGCCTAAACGTTTTTCATTATTTTGCACTTGCCTTCCATTTGGATTTGTATAGTGTGATATTCTCCCCCTGTTACCCTTCCCCTGAATTAACCCTGTATTTTCTGCTTTATTAGCCTGTTTTCTGTTGCTGGCACCTTTTCTTTCCTATGCTTTACTCTGGTCTCGCATGGATCGCGGCGTTTTACCGCGAGCACGCTTTTTATTCATTGGTGCTGGGACTTCAGGGCAGGTCTCTGGGGGTTGGGGATGTCGGGGGGACTCTTTTCCATGCCGGCAGACCGCGATCGTATCCTCGATCGTGGGCCGCACGGCACTTTTGCGCGCGAACGGCGGCCATCTTGAATCTCGCGGCACTCGCGAGATTCACGTCGGCCATGTCGTTTGGCCAGTTCGTGATTCCCACGAACTGGCGGCTAGTTCTGTACTGTTTCATATATTTTTCCTGTGAAATAAAAGTTTTACAAGTACTTTTGAGCTCAATACTGTTCATGGGCATGTGGAATAAAGGTTTTATATGGACCTTTCCTGGAAGATTATGAATGGACTGTTCACTGCTGAGCTCTATACTGGCATATTTCATTGGCATGTGAAATAAAAGTTTTATATGTAACTCTGCATGAATATGTAGGACTGATCCCTGCTGTGTGCATCTGCTGACAGTTTGCTCTATTCTGTTCTATACAATTGACATGTTGAATAACAGTTTTATTGTACATCTGGAGGATTATGAATGGACTGTCCCCTGCTGTGGGTATATAGTGGATGCATTACTCTATCTACTGGCAGGGAAATTAAATAGAGCTGATATCTTACTCCGCTCCCTACTCCCACTGGACCTCACAACCATTGGATACACTCCTTCCCCACAGGGATACACCTCCCAGGACACAGTAGTGGAGGCACATAACGGAGTGATTAACAGGGGTGATCCCCCTTACGCTGGGTGACCCCCAAGCGTGGCAGACACCTCTCCAAAGTGACATTGTGGTACAGGGGTGACCCCCCCTTACGCTGGGTGACCCCCAAGCGAATCTGGTTCCTGTCCTAGTGACATACATATACTGGGGTGATCCCCCTACTCTGGGTGAACCCCAAGCGAATATTATTCCGGTACTAGTGACATACATATACTGGGGGGAACCCCCACACCCTAGGGCGGGCTCATTTCCACGAAGTACGATCTGTTACTGTATGCACAGACCGGGTCACACTGAATACATGTATATCGACAGAGCCAGGAAGGAGAGCTCATGGTGCTGCCAATTCTCCACAGTACTATATCCTATAAGGGTGACCCCTTGGATAATTTGGAGGCTACCATACCTCCCCATACACGGGCTACGTCCCGACATTACTGACCGCTCATCCCGGTCTTATTGAGGGTGACCCCCTCCTCAGACCACTCCCAGGAAATCTCTAAGTGGTACTGATTGAAACAATTCTGGGTGACCCCCAGTTGTACGTGGAGGCCCACTAAGTGGCAATAAGTGTACTACCGTACCTGACACCTGTTCGGTACCCCATAGACCGAAAGAGTGTCCCAACATGCCATAAGAGACATTCATACAGGGGTGACCCCCCTATGCTGGGTGAACCCCAAGCGAGTCTTACTCCGGTGCTAGTGGCATAGGTACAAAGGGGTGACCCCCCGCACCCTTTCTAGGGCTTCTACCTTCAGAGTACGCTCTGTCATTGTATGCACAGACCAGGGCGCACTAGATGCATGTATTCTGGCACCTCTATGCTTCAACTGGGGTTCCGTACGCCCTTCCCTTAACCGAGAAGGAGAACTCACAGTGCTGCCAAAACTCCACAATTCTAGACCATATAAGGATGAACCCGTGGACTATATATATTGAGGCTTTCACGTCTCCCAGACTCGGGCTACGTCCCGACATTGCAGACCGCTCATCCCGGTCTTACTGAGGGTGTCCTCATTCTCAGACCACTCCCCGGATCCTGCGAAAATGATACTGATTGATCAAAATTCTGGGTGACCCCAGTTATACGCGGAGGCCCACTGAGTGGCAATAAGTGTACTGTTGTACGATCCTGTCTCCCACGGACCGAAAGGGTGTGAACCAACATGTCGGACTTACCTCAATATCCCCGACCGATTTTCAGGCGAGGATTAAGGCTGCCATGACAGCTCCGGGGGAAGAAGTCCTCTCCAGTATGCTGGCTAACAACCCATCCGACAGAGCGGGTGCAACGGCAGCAACACCAATGGAAGATTGAGATACCGACGTTAGGTCGGACACCCATCATCAGGGGACGAGGACTTCATCCTCCCCCCCCTTCTCTGGAGATCATGAAAGAATGGAGGGCAGAAGAGGTAAAAGTGACAAGACACGCCTAGCAAGAAAGGTTTTTTCTTTGGCACACTGGACACTCCTGTTTTGACTCACGCACCATCCGACAACCAGGGTCATCCGAATGGGGTTAACTGGAGCACCGGGCCCACTTCTGGCTTAGGAGGCCTATGGGAAAAGAAATCCGAGACCGGCTCAGGATGGAATGCCCACGCCCTCTATGTCCGAACAAGATAGTCCTCACTATGGAGCTCGTGGTGATATGTATGTCCCGATCAGTGTGTAGGAGGAGGACTCAAAATGAGTTAAATACTGGATATGATCAGCCCGGGAAAAAATTCTATACTTTGCAGACCTGACCCCACACAAGACTCACCTCTAGAAGCTCACGATGTGAGGGAATGGGTGCAAAGGGCAATATGTAAGTTGGGGAACGCAAGGCAGACAGGTGCACAGAACGCCGCAAAGCAGCCCGATTAAAGATGGATTTCAAACTATTGAAGTTAGGGACGAAAGAGCGAGGACCTCAGGCAGACGGACTATCGTTTGGAGAACAATTTATCTCAGCAACGGTTTGGTAGTAAGGAAGAAGATAGGAGACTATCACCCAGTCATCAACCTATGCCAACCCAATGGTTTTGGGGCGTACCGACAACTCAAGAAGGAAGGTATCCATCTCTTAGGGGATCTACAAGGTTGGACTTGAAGGGCACTTACCTATAGGTTCACATGGTGCCTCATGAAGTTTCTGAAGTCGGTCACTGCGCACTGAAAAGCAAAGGGTATCTGCTGTCACATACCTAGACGACTTACCTTTTGCAAATCCAATTCATGACTACGTTTACAAACAAGATTTATGTTTACAGTTTCGGGAATTGTTGGGATTCATAGTGAACAGAGAGGAGTTGGTTCGATCCCAGTTCCGAGTGATTCAGTTCCTCTATTTCAGAATAGATTCCACCTTGGGCGGATTACACCTTCCCACATCATTGATAGCGACGATTCGTAAGGAAATTCGACGGGTACGGCGGAAAGGCACCATAACCCTTTGACTATTTCCCAGGACTGCTTCACTACCAGGCCAGACAGTGGCTGAAAGCTCACTGCCTGAGATACGGACACACCTATGAAATTGGGATCAGAATAGCGAAGACTTCGATAGTACTCATTACTGCGGTAAAGGAGGCAAGCGTGACACCCAGAAGGGTTGTCCTTAATCAGGATCATCCTCTGCTCCTTCCGTTTTAACTTGCCTTCGGGCGGATCCAAAAGGAGAACATCATCCATTGAGAATGCAGGAGCATCTGGAGTTGGTAGATTGGTGTCTTCCAGGGGAGACTGGTATGTCAAGGGACTATCGCAACCAACTAGAGACCTACTATGGGACTCATGGACGCCAGGTATTCCCCCGAAATAACTTATCCGCATGGAACACCTTGAGTTCGCTGGTGTATGGGAAGGGACTGCGATCCCTTTATTACCCCTATCTCCACGATGCTGGATCTTTATCATACCTTTTCACTACAGGCCGATCGGAACGTTCCATTAACGGGCTACGTTCCGCGATTTCGACGATGCATAGCACGATTCACGACACTCCGGTCAATCAAGAGCCTTTGATATGCCATTTTCTGTGGGGTATCAAACCGTCCAGAACCATGCGTCAAAGTATCACTGGTGTGGGACTTTGATTTGGTTCTTTTGGAGCTAGTCAGATATCACGGTCCTATCCCTCAGTCAGCCATTAGCCAGAGTCACGTTACTTTTAGGTCTTTTCGTCGGGTATCAGATGTACTGGAGTTCGACGTAGACGGTCTTTTCGGTATCACCGGAAAGAATAATTTCTACAGTGTCTCGTAGAACTATATCTTATCCGTGTCCGTATCGTTCCCTGTTACCGACGTTTCCCAGCCTTTGTGCAGTTAAAGGGGTACTTTGTTACATGGAGATCACGACAACACTTAGAATGTCACATTCAGGACATCTGCTGGTCTTATACCAACCGTACAAGCCAGTTACCATGAACACTCTGTCTAGATGGGTTCATTGGTTGTTATCGCTAGCGAGGGTGGAGACGTGTTTGGGTACTCATTCGGTAAGAGGCGCAGCTGCTTCTCAGGCCTTCACGAGGGGGCCTCTATATTTTCAGCGACGAATTGGACACGGATAGACTACTTCCGTATATTTATTTTCGTCAACCACACACGCATCCTTCACGCTCATACCACAGCTTTAAAAATGCAAAATATGAAGCCTCCTGTCATGTGATAAAATTGTAGATTATGCTAACGTAGTGTACCTATAATCTTAATTTTAATAATGACAGGAGGCGAGTATTTTCCCTCCCTGTTTCCCTCCCTATACTCTGGAAATTTTTTATATTTTGGTTTGTCATTTTCTCAGTGTAAATTATAAGGTTTGGTAATTCAGTATATTTATGGGATGCTTATTTGGTTGATATGTGTTAGATCCGTGTTGATTATTAAGTATACTATGGTTTGTTTAATGTTTCAGTATATTAACTTAATATAAATATAGACACATATAGTACTGGATTTAATGTGGACAACAGTTGGTTTCCATCACCTTTCACGTATTTCTGTTCTTTTCAGCGTAATCATCATAGATGGATTCGACAAGATAAAGCTGGAAGGTTTCAAGTTTCGTTTCAAGTTATGTTCTACACGTTACTCAGGACTGTTATTTGAATTCCCTGACGTTATAATAGACTGTTTTTCGCATCAAAGAAAGAGGAAGTCATGTGACTGTCAGGGCTTTATATATGAATGTGATGCCTGTTACTGATTGGTTTAAAGTTTATTGATTGACTTGTGCTGCTGGAGGCATAAAGTAAAGAAAGTTATGCAAAATACTCGCCTCCTGTCATTATTAAAATTAAGATTATAGGTACACTACGTTAGCATAATCTACAATTTTACTAACTCAACCATTCAGTCTGAATTATCATCAGCAAATATTGGTCTATATTATTGACTTATCTTTCTTTAATGGAATGTCTAAGACCAGAGTCACAATCTCTAAACACAATTAATTAACCCCTTAAGGACACAACTTCAGAAATAAAAGGGAATCATGACGGAATATGTCCTTAAAGGACCACTCTAGGCACCCAGACCACTTCAGCTTAATGAAGTGGTCTGGGTGCCTGGTCCAGCTAGGGTTAACCCATTTTTTCATAAACATAGCAGTTTCAGAGAAACTGCTATGTTTATGAATGGGTTAAGCCTTCCCCTATTTCCTCTAGTGGCTGTCTCATTGACAGCCACTAGAGGCGCTTGCGTGCTTCTCACTGTGATTTTCACAGTGAGAGCACGCAGCGTCCATAGGAAAGCATTGTAAATGCTTTCCTATGCGACGGCTGAATGCGCGCGCAGCTCTTGCCGCGCGTGCGCATTCAGCCCAGGGGAGGAACGGAGGAGGAGAGAGGAGAGCTCTCCGCCCAGCGCTGGAAAAAGGTAAGTTTTAACCCCTTTCCCCTTTCCAGAGCCGGGCGGGAGGGGGACCCTGAGGGTGGGGGCACCCTCAGGGCACTATAGTGCCAGGAAAACGAGTATGTTTTCCTGGCACTATAGTGGTCCTTTAAGGGATTAAAGATGATATCAAACCGACCGTATTCTTTTTTTTTTTTTCAATATGGTTTTGGGTTGTGAAAAGTTGTTAGCATCTAAATCTACATAAATTGGACAATATTCACAATTCATTTTTTAGATCAACATAAACCAATCAAACATGTACACTAAAACAGCTGGCAAATTGTTTTACCAATAAAGTCTCATATTGGTGATTTTACCCTACTTTATTTTGTGACAACTTGTACAATCCCTGTACAAATGCATAGAGAAGCAAATAAGAAACATCTGAAATATTAAATCTATGGCTTTTTGTTGCCCTTTATAAATGCACATTGAGATAATATGGACAGATTAGATGTTTTGACAAAATAGATGTAAAAATGTGAAATAGAATGGAATTATAAATGAAATACCTTCAATTATCATCCTGGTCTTTATGAGGAATTATATTTATGGTCACGTTTTGCCTTTAATAAAATGGAAAATAAAACTTCACTATGCATGGAGTGATGTTGGTGCAATATAACTATGTTTTGTAGAGGTATTTGTCTTTAATCTATTTAACTGTGCAGGTATATCTTTTATTTAATATAATTAGTCTATTTCATTTTCCTTTAAGATACAATCTGATTGCAGGCTAAGAAATATTTAAAGATGATATTTATAATGTCAGAAAGACAGCCTTATTAGAACATTTTATTATGCATGTTGATTGTCACAATGTGTTTTGTTCACTGAAATACTGTGGAACTTGCACAGAAAGAAAAAAAAGTTATCCAAAGATTAACCCCTTAAGGACTGAGCCAAATGTACATGTTTTGAGCAAAATAAAACGTAAACAAAACTTGGAATTTGACTATATGTCTGTTCAACCGTAATTCACCTCTTTCATATTAAGTGCACCCACACTTATTATTTATCGTTTTTATTCAGGAGAATATGGTGTTTTGGGAAGTTACAGGGTCAAAAATAGCATGTTACATTTCTCATTTTTTCACATTAAAATTTGCCAGATTGGTTACATTGCCTTGAGACCGTATGGTAGCCAGGAATGAGAATTACCCCTATGATGGCATACCATTTGTAATAGTAGACAACCCAAGGTATTGCAAATTGGGTATGTCCAGTCTTTTTTAGTAGCCACTTAGTCACACACACTGGCCAAAGTTAGCATTAATATTTGTTTGTGTGTGAAAAATGCAAAAAACTAATTTGAACCCCTATTTTGGCCAATGTTTGTGACTAAGTGGCTACTAAAAAAGACTGCACATACCCCATTTGCAATACCTTGGGTTGTCTACTTTTGTAAATGGTACGCCATCATGGAGGTAATTCTCATTCCTGGGCTACCATACGGTCTCAATATAACTGGAGGTAATTCTCATTCCTGGGCTACCATACGGTCTCAATATAACTGGAGGTAATTCTCATTCCTGGGCTACCATACGGTCTCAATGTAACCAATCTGGCAAATTTCCATGTGAAAAAACTGAAACACAAGCCTTATATTTGACTCTGTAACTTTTGAAAACACCATAAAACCTGTACATGAGGGGTACTGTTATACTTGGGAGACTTCGCTGAACACAAATAGTGTTTAAAAACTGTAAAATGTATAACAACAATTATATCATCAGTGTAAGTGCCGTTTGTGTGTGAAAAATAGAAAAAAACCATCACTTTCACTGATGATATCATCGTTGTAATACAGTTTACTGTTTACAAACTTGGGGTCAGTCTCTTATGGGCTCCAAAGCAAGGTGAGCATACAGCTGTTTGGTTTATTTACTTGTTCTGTGTTAGCCAAATATAGTACACCAATCCTGTCTTGCTGTTCTTTCTCCACCTGTTCCACATATTAGTTATTGAGAGATATTCTAACACTGCAGTAAAGAAGGTAGTGCTTCCTCCTTAACCCCTTAATGCCATTATGGCGTTCTAAGCCGTCCCGATTATAATGGGCTTTAAGGCCGTTGCGGCGGCATAGAACGCCGTAACAGCTTAAGCCCCCAGGAGGTCTGCGGTACTTACCTCCACCGCGATCCTCTTCGGGAGGACTGCCTGACAGCCCAGGAAGCCCTCCCCTGGCAAATCAGGCCCCCGAGGGCCATGTGATCGCTCTCTATTACCCAGTGCTCAGGAATACAATATACATTATTCAGCAAGATACCAGCACTCTGGGATTTCCAATAGGCCCCTTATTTGAGAATATCCTGTAATCAATGTTTCAGTTCCTAATAGGATAATATAAAAAATATTTTATTAGGAACTGAAACGTTGACTATACTGGATATTTTCAAATAAAGGAGACCTGTTGGAAATCCCAGAGTGCTGGTATCTTGTTGAATTATATATTATATATTATATTTATATATATATATATATATATTTATTTTTTTTATTATTATTTTTTTTTACTTATTCATTGCAGTACATAGAAATGCACACTTTTTATGTTT